CGTGATTTTGCGAGAGCGACGTGTGCCGGCGTCTACTTATGAATATTACACTTAATAAAGGAACTTATCAACTTATATGCTGGTTTAACTACTTTAATAATCCACATTTATATTTGACGATATGGACGACTTGAGTTGTAACAATATCGCAATCACTCCGCGACGTTCGTTCATTTAATCGAATTTTGGGTGCCGAAGCGAAGGTACGGTGCTCACGCGTGAATGTTGATTAGTTTCAATGCGTTTTGGTGCAGTGCGAGACCCTATCCAATAGTTTCGCACGTAACAATTAATTTCATAAATCGAGAATTTAAAAAGAATTCTTCTTTTCTTCTTTCTATTTGGGTTGTATGTAACATATCTGCTTTTAAATGAGGCATAGATATCCGATATATATGCAAAATCAGATATCATGTCTGAGATAAAATTATCATGGCTTTTTATAATCTTGGAGATGTTTCTGAGATATCCTCTATCTTGCGCAATCAGATATTCCGTCATTCAGATATCTTCTAGATATCTTGGTGATATATTTTGCTGTGTGGGTATTTTATATTAACCCTTCGTCATCCATATGCTGCTTTAAAGTCCCAAGCAACTTGCATTTCTTCGCGGAGAGAAGAAGGCAGTATCCCTCCTTAAAAAAGTTGACAGTAGAGGGGTTTCGCTGACGCTGGTTTCCGTCAATGCGTTTTCGAGCAACGACCTGGCAAAATTAAGTCTATGCCACGGTCTTACATAAGACCGTGGTCTGTGCCCTAAACTGTACCCATATGGATGATGGCGTTAGTGTTTGCTGACGTATATAAATGTTTTTTTTTGTTTTTTTTACACTTTATTTCTAATAATTTTTGCTAATTAAAGCACTTCTATTATTAGTAGAATATTATTTACAAAATAGCAGAAAGAAACGCCGAACAATACGATACTTTTTTACTTTTTATTTATAATTTTCTTTTATATTTGTAATATTTTATATATAACTAACAATTTTTTACAATAAAAATTTATTTCTAAGCAAAAAAAGTCAAACTTTATCTTTCTTTGTATTTAATACATGAATAAACCTCTCTAAAATTTCACCGTTTTTATTTGTTAAAATAATTATACTTTTTGAAGTTGACTCAAATGAGACTACATTCTTTTGAAAGGTCGTAGTCTGAAGTACAAAATCTTACAATCATTTTTGTTAATATTCATTTGTTGCAAAGTTATATAAATTTTCAAATTCCCATTTTTCTCTATTTGTGTTCAAATTTTGTTATATATAAACAATTAGGTTTAATATTTGGCTTTAAAATGTATTGGATATTGTAGTAAAAATGTTGACAACTCAGAATTTTTTTGAATTTTTTGAAAGCTTAGAACATAAAAATGACAAAGTGGATCATGTGGATGACGGCGTTAGAAAGACAGTTGACGTAGCCCTACGTTTACTTTCCTTCGTTGAATACTTTAACATGAAATAGTGACAGCTGACGTAGTTCTATGTTGTTGTTTGCGACACAGTTGTTACTGTGCCCTTTTTTTCAAATATATTTATAATTTTTTTCTAATTTTACCTTAGGTTTTCTCATATAGGAAGCTTTTTAAGTGAAACAGCAACTTATAGATATAATCATTTATGAGATAGAAATAAATAGCGATACGTTTGAATATATACACATATACACATACATGTACATACATATATACACATATATAAGTCCATATACACAAACATATATAGTAATTTTACATTGATTTTTGCGGCATTTCTAAATTTTTATCTAAAACTTGCTTCCTGATAATTTTTTTCGCTCATAAAGTTTTATCTATGAGAAATTTGCCAAATTATTAGCATATAATAGATTGGCTTCCTCATTGAGGAAACTTTATAAGCTAAGTAAAATGATGAGGAAACAATCTGTCTAAATTGAACACTTTTTTAATTATATTTGTAAATTTATAATAAAAAGCGTTGTATATAAAATAGGGGTAGAAAACTTCATACACTTTTAAAGCAGAAATCGGTAATTTCTTCCCAGATCATCAGAAAATTCAATATCAACCTTCCTTTAATGATGCTCTATATATTCTGCATTTATATAAAATTCGTAATTTATTGCATATCCCCGTAGAGTTCGCAATCTACTACCAATACTATCCTTCTCCACTCACTTTAACCCTTTTGACTAACGGCTTAACGTCTCTTTCCGAAAGACGAAGCCCAGTTTTCTCCGCACAAGAGCTTATCTTGCACGGAGGGGCGCAGCTATCGGAAAAACATTCCATACTTACATGGCTCTAGTGGACTTGAACCTGGTTCCTCAGATTACGAGTCTGGCGCTCTACCACTAGACCACACTGCCGCCCTATGATATGCTCTATATAAGATATAAGATATAAGATATAAGATATAAGAAGGCGTCGATCGGTGAATTGGTTTTCCGATTTATGACTAAAAAAAGTATAAGAATACATGTATAACTTATACTCTATTTAGGCATAAATCGGTATATCCGGATCGACGATAAATTCATGTCAATACAGGATCCTCCCAGTGTTAAGTATAAATTTCTTGCAGCAATCTGTAACCCCTTCCCCGATTCTCGCCAAAGTAAATGCCAACCTTGCTTTAATGATATTCTATATAAGATTACATGTATAACTTTACATTTTTTTTAGACATAAATCGGTAAACCCTTCAACGATTGACGCTAAATTCAATACCAACCTTCCTTTAATGATTGTTTGGCGCACCGCCGTGTATCATAGTGTAAATAGTAGTTAATTATAGGATCGATTTCGTTTTGTCGCTTCGTATTGTTAATTGTACGGTTTTTGTATTGATTGGTTATACCGGGTTGAATTATCGCGCCTATTAGCGAAACGTCGGTGGATCGCGATTGCTACACTTGTCGATATTCGCGCGACTCACCCGACTCGTGCTGCCCGCCCGCGGGTGGCATCCCCCATTAGGGGAAGAATTCGGTACTCGCTCGCGCCGTACTTCGCAGGTGCGCGAGCCGGAGAACGGAAGAGGGGACTCCTCGTCAAACAGTCGGAGAGGACACATCTCTCCGCAGAACTTTTCGTCAAGCCGCCGAGCGGCACGCACACACATATTCGCGACACGCCGTATTACGGCAGGGACTCATCAGTCGAACGTCGTGAAGCTCACACGTTACCGTTTTCGCGTGCGCGAACTCGGAGTGCTCGGTCGCCCATCGCAGACCACGAAGGCCTAATCGCTTGCTATCCTGCCTATCTGTGCCTGCTTGCTATACCTGCCTGCCCGCTTGCTATGCCGGACTGTTGCATGCTTTCGCCTTGCACGCCAGAGATCTCGCCAACGGGAGGACGACGTCAACACCCAGGAGGCGCCGGGCAACGACACGATGAGTCGCCACGCATCTCTTTTGATATTCGCTTGCTTGCTTCGCTTTATTCGCTTTCGCGAGGGCACGGGCCCTCTGGTCCTTCGAGAAATTTTGTTGACCAATCGCAAATCCGGGGAGCGCCTCATACCCCCCCGTGCATTGGTCCTTCGAGCCGGATTTCGCGTTAGAAAAGTACCGCCGACCTTTCGCTCACGTCGCATCATTCATTAACTTGTTAATTTTCGCACATTCTTGTAATCGCGCATCGCGATAACACGTGGCGCGTGGTAGTCTCTCGCGATATCTTTCGTTCGCAACTCCTTGCGACGAGAATACTCGCGTGAACTTCTCGCTGTCGTAACCATGCCATTGCTGTTATCTGCCTTTGTCGTGAATACGCTTAATTATTGTTCTTATAGTCGCGAGATGCAGTAACGCGCGGCGTGTTAATAATCTTTAGTCTCGCGCGATATCTCTCGTTCGCAATTCTTAATTCGCAGCGAGAATACTCGCGTGAACTTCTTTCGCTCGTCGTAACACGTTCCGTCGCTGTTATTCGCATTAACGCGAATTGCAATAACGCGTGGCGTGTTAATAATCTAATTAACTCGCGACGAGAATATTCGCGTGAATCCACGATCTCGCGCGGTATCTCTCGCTCGCAATTCTTTCGCTCGTTGTAACACGTTCCATCGCCGTTATTTGTACTAGTCGTAAATTGCGCAATTGACGCGGTAATTAGTTAAAGCCCGTCATTGTTAACATAGAAGCCGAAATATTCAGATCTCGAATATTCTCGGGCTGGCCATACGTTTTCGCCGCGCCGTCGACGGCCTTGACGCTCAGTCACGGGCCGGCAGCGTATGTACACAGTTTTTCTACATAAGCTCGCGTTCCATAATAACGCGCTACCTTATTTTCGTTGTTGCTGGGTGTGTTTCGGCCAGACTCGAAATACATATTGGAAACACATACTGAATATTATTCCGATCGTTGGAATTCTCGCAAACATAATTGCCACCGATCGAATATACTGTTCGTCGGCACTGGTTCCCGGTATAGAATATATTGCAGCACTCAAGGTAATCTCATTAAAGATTATAATTACAATTATAATCACAATTGCAAATAGTTGGCGTAATTGATGCTCATGTCGTGGATTATTGCTCGTGTCGTGTGTATACTGCTCATGTCGTATACGCTGCTCGTGTCGTAGCTCCGCGCGCAACATGTATTGCTGAAAACTTAATTTGAACAAATACTTGAGTGCATTCCTCGCTGTAACCGGGCACCTGTGCCAACCTAATTGATAATTTTGATCGTTAATATAACTATATTATTTTGTATCTTTTGCAACCATCTTCCTCGTTAATTATCCTACTTGATCCCCCTCTACCGCCAGTGCTCGCACCCTATTATTTTGCATCAACCTACCGTCGTTTTGAAATTGTACAAATCGTTATTATAGCCTCTCGAAAATATCCGTCGTGCCTTCGAACAGAAATTCGAGCCGAGCCGACTCGTCATCATAACAAGGAGATAGTTGTTTCGTTTTGCTTCCGGCGTTGTTGATATTCTCACATCGAAGTGAGCTGCTATCGTCACCTTGGTTGACCTAGTGATTGTATTCCGGGCATCATGAGTCGAGGGAATGTAACCAAACGCGAGTTATGCGTGAAACGTATGCGGGAGATTCATGAGCTGTCGATGCTCGCCGCGGACAATGTAAATCAGAGATCGAACTTTCGCGTGCGATATCCCATCGTGACCAAATTGGTCGAGGACTTTGAGGCAGCCCACCTCAAGATAATACAAGACGCCTCAGATGAAGAGTTCGAAACGGAGGATTCGATTCGCCGGGACTTTGACGAGATGCGCTTCGCGGTAATCGGGCGTTACGAGAGATTTGTGGGCGCCGACCGAGCAGCCGCTCCGGCCCCGCAGGCCCCGGCCCAGACGTCATCGGTCAAATTGCCCAAGATCTCCCTTCCGCAATTTTCGGGAGATCTCACGCTTTGGCCCTCGTTCATCGCGTTATACAACATCTCTATTCACGAGAACCGGAACGTCCCTACCATAGAGAAGTATCAATATCTGATATCCTGCTTGAAAGGAGAAGCGCTGAACGTCGTCAAGAACATCCCTCTCTCCACCGATAACTACGCGATAGCTTATGACGCCTTGATTTCGCGATATCAAAACAAACGAGACTTGGCGGATTATCACGTGGACTTGATGCTGAAAGCTCAGCCGTTGAAGTCGGAGTCGGCCGTCCCCCTGCGCACGCTGTTGAGCACCTTCACCGAAAACACGCGAGCATTGAATCTATTAGGATTTCCTACAGACGCTTGGGATTATCTCCTTCTTAAATTCTTGCTGGAGAAGCTCCCTCGCTCGCTCCGCGAGAAGTTCGAATCTGCACCCCGGTCGGAGGAAATACCGAAATTCACGCAGCTCACAAAGTTCCTCTCTGATCACTGCCGGGTTCTCGCGTCGGTATCGGGCTCACAAAATACGTCGCAAAAGTCTCAGTCGACTTCGTCAAAGAATTCCGCGTCGGCTTCGTCGCTCGCAACTCGAACCGCCGAGTGTCCGGTATGTAAAGAACAACACCCTGTTGCAAAATGTTCTCGGTTCTTAAAGTTAGCACCCCGAGAGAGGCATTCGACGGCTAAAGCTTCGAACTTGTGCTATAACTGCCTCCGCGCGGGCCACGGCGTTAATGACTGTCCATCGTCGTGGACGTGTCGGTCGTGTAAGGCCAAACATCACACGCTCCTGCATTTTGAGCAGAACTCGGGCTCGGCGAATGCACCCACAGACGCCGAACCACCCTCCGAATCGGGGACAACGTCATCGCAGGGAAGCGAACCCCTCGTTAGCATGGCTAGTGTCGCGCGGTCGAACCCGATCGTATTGTTGTCGACGGTACAAGCCGAAGCGCTCGACGCACACGGAAATCCCTTCCCCGTTCGTATTCTGTTGGATAGCGCGAGCCAGCTAAACTTTATCTCCGAAAGTTGCATGCAGAGGGGTGGTTTCGGACGAACCAAGTGCCATACGGTAGTTCTCGCGGTAAATGATACAAGGGCGGCTGCAACTCGAGGCCGCACCTCACTCGTAATACAAGCACAGGGCAGGGAAAGCACGCGCACCCCGGTAGAGGCTACGATTCTTCCGCGCATCTCCGCCCCGTTACCTAGCAGTCAGGTCGAGCGAAGAGCGTGGAAACATTTGAACGGATTGCGGCTAGCTGATCCGCGGTATCACCGACCCGGTCCCATCGACATCCTGATCGGCGCAGAAATCTTCGCGTCGCTACTTCGGGATGGCCGTCGCGTGGGAAAGAAGGGCGAACCAGACGCCTTCAATTCCGTCTTCGGCTGGGTTCTCGTCGGTTCGGTATCGACGCAGGCGCCGGGATCCACACATTCGTTTATGACTCTCGATTCGTTGGACGCATCTCTTAGTCGATTTTGGCAACTAGACGAGATTCCATCGGTCCCACCGTATTCGCAGGAGGATAAACGTTGCGAGGAATTATTCGCTCAGACCACGCGTCGGGACGCGTCCGGTCGTTTTGTCGTATCGTATCCCTTCAAAAGGGATAAACCTTGTTTTGTCGGCACGCGTCAAATAGCCCTAAATAGATTTCGCGCACTTGAGCGTCGCTTTAAATTAGATGCAGAGTTTAAATTGAACTATAACAAATTCATGCAGGATTATTTGAATAACGGTTATATGAAACTGATTGAACGGCCGTTCCCGGTGGACGGACCTGTATTCTATTTGCCCCATCATGGGGTAGTCAAATCGGATAGCACTACCACAAAATTGCGGGTCGTATTTGACGCCTCGGCGAAGGATTTGAACGGCGTTTCGTTGAACGACGTATTGCGATCCGGGCCTAAGTTACAGACGGATATAGTCGTGATATTGTTGAGGTTCCGGGTAGGCCGCGTGGCGCTCACTGCGGACGTCAGACAAATGTTCCTTCGGATCTTGGTCGAGCGCGGTCAATGTGACTACCAGAGAATAGTCTGGCGTTTCTCGGAGAATGATCCGATATTAGACTACTTGATGTTGACCGTCACTTTTGGATTGACGTGTTCTCCGTTCCTGGCAATCGTCTGCTTGTTGAAATTGGCAACGGAAGGCAAAGTGAGCTACCCTCTGGCCGCGGCGGTCTTGGAGGAGAGCGTCTATGTCGACGACGTGGTGGCGAGCGTCGAATCTGAGGGGGAAACCCGTGAGCTTCAGCGGCAGCTACAAGCTTTGCTTGAAGCCGCGAGTTTCGGGCTCAGGAAATGGGCCAGCAGCCATCCGTCAGTCTTAGCAGGTCTCGATCCGGAGCTTTGCAGTCAATCATTGCTATCGTTTGAATCCTCGGAAGATCAGTTTCTCAAAGTTCTCGGACTTCGTTGGTATCCTCAAACGGACGACTTCGGCTTTCAGGTCTACCCGTTGGACAGAGATTGTACCAAACGCACCATTCTCTCGGAACTG